CCTCTTCTCGTCAAAATCATCTGAGACACAAATCCATATTTTGGGATAGAAATGCTCAGTTACTCTTTGATCATTGAAGACCATTTGGGCAAGAGTCGTTTTTCCTAGCCCCCCCATACCAACTATTGGGAGGACTGAAAGTTCTTGGGCAGCACTAACGTTGTTTATCAGGATTTTCACTATGTCATCTTCCTCTTTGTCCCTTCCATAAATTTGTGGTTCAGTTAAAACAAAACCTAGTCCAAGCAATATTGACAACACGAGAATATTGTTACATTCAAGTTCATTAGGAGTCAGCAGAAAATAGAGAATAAATTTTGCACCCCTTAAATAAATATGAATGAATTTGAAGAGCAGGAGACATGAGAAAATCATGCTGAGTTCTACTTGGCAAAGTGAAAAATGCATTAAGTACTCCTGTATGGAATTCACAATTTTGTATTTGTCATTTTCAAATCCTATAAACATGTATAATATATATCTATCATCAAATGTAATGAAGGGTTAGACACTTGAGACAAACAGTTAGAGAAAATCTTTGAAACTTGCCCTCACCCCGAACACACGCATGAATTTGATAATTTTCAAAAAAAGAACATAAACAAAAGTTGTTGTAATACTAATATAAGATGAGCACCTGTTTCCCGTGAGTTAATATCTTAAAAGGTCATTGAACTATGAGAATTTATCAAGTAAAGTCATTGAACTTCATTTTATATCAATAAAATCACTCAACTTAAAGCTTTTATCTTCAAAAATCACTCAACAACATTTTTTCATTAAATAAATTTAACAAGACATAATAAATTATCAAAAACACATTATGTTTTTTTTCTAATTTATTATTAAAATAAATTTGACATAACAAATAAATTATTTTATATGCCATGTAAATATGAATATCACAAATTGAAATTTTATATTTTCAACCAGCAACACACAAACCTGCATCATACCCACGTTGCTTCAATATTCATTTTCTACATTTTGTGCCACTGTTCGTAAACAATTTTTTTTGGCTGAAGTAATCATCAATTGATTACTTTGATTAGATACTCCAGTCTCCATATACAAACATATTAATTTAATTATAATATAAACAAATGAGTAATATAGTGTATAACCCAAAACAATTAATGAGTAATAACGTGTAGTTTTTATTTTCAATTCCTTGATGTGATTTATAGAATTTCATTACATTTATGTTGCTAGCTAGCTGGTTGTAATGTGATAGTGGATCTCTTATGAATATGAATTTTACACCCAAAATTTAATTTTTTTCATTTGTAACAGGATACAGAGAACTGAATCATTGATAAATAGGATAAAATGGCTTTTTAAACAATTATTTATTTATGGGGTTCATGTTTATATGCTAAAATATTATTTGTATATTAAATTGATTTTAATAATAAATGTAGTTGAATGATTTTTGTAGATAAATGTCTTAAGTTGAGTGGTTTTATTGATATAAAACAAAGTTTAATGACTTTGCTAGATAAATTCTTATAGTTCAATGACCTTTTAAGATATTAACTCGTTTCCCGTCTAGCAGTTTGTCTCTCAATAATCTTTTCATGGAAATGAAAATCCATTCTTTCCATAGCAATTGCATCTAGTTTCTCCATCATCTCTTTGATCCTTTTCCCAATCTTACGACAGAATGTGATAATCTCAGGATGACAACGTCCTAATCGAGACTGCCTGAGTCTTGCTGCCTCATTTTTACATTCGTCCAATATGTCATCAATTTTATACGCAGCAGCATTGAGTTTATGTAACCAGTTTTTAATTGCCCTGTCCTTGAGTTGCTTCTCCCGAGCATCTTCAAGCACAGCTTGGATTGTAGAAAACCTGCTCGAAAGATTTTCAAACTCATTTTCAAAACCGAAAAGCAATGAAAGTTCCCCTTCAAGGAATGAAGTGATATTTTCAATCACAATTTGAAGGAAAGCTTCTGCCATATATATGTGATCTAGAGTGGAATTGTAACACAAATTGCTGATGAGTAAACAATGAGTTTCAAGTTAATGCTTTGTGTATGAATTACTTGTGACAATAAATACATTAATGGGAGAATAAATATATACTTTTCGTGTCATGGAAACTGCATTTACATCTTTTATGGAATCTCAATACTTTTCTTTCGCTTTAATCTGTATGCTAAAGTCTTCTACATAGAGCTTTTTGCAGGACTGTATGTATTCAATTGATTTTGCTTAAATCTATAAAGTAAGATCGATCGATGTTGGAATGAAATATAGACAGGTGAAAGCAAGAAGCATTATAAACTCAATTATTCCACCATGGGACCGTCATATCTCTCAATGATATTTGGTTTTGCTTTTCAATCCAATAACTAATTGTTGCTTATGATTTTAAACATTTTTTTGGCGCCCAAGTGCATCTCTTTTATAGATTGATTTGTGAAATTTATGGGAGCCACTATTATTCTTATTTTTTTTTTGCAATAACTAGTCTCTGAACACGTGCGTTGCACGTGTGTTCTATGTGAATTTTTATAGATTCGTTAGAACAATAAAATATTTAAGCAAATCGTGTGAAGAGAGTAATTTTTTTTAATGTGCGTCAAGAAACACCAAATGAGGGGCACACTGTAATGTTTAAAATCAATTCCTTTGAAGCTACCATTGGTAAATCAATTTTGTTTAAGCTATTATCGGTAATTTTTAAACTTTGTTTAATAGTTAACACACTTCCAATAAAGTCACAAATGACTAATTTGAGACAAATATCAATACATACTTACAATAATGATTAAAAAAAATTCATAAAAACTAGATCGGTGAAGTCTAATACAAAAAAAACACACAAAAAATAGAAGAAAAATACAACATACACATCATTCGTAAGACTTTATTCATATTGATTATACATAGAAAATAAATATATAATCAATAAGTTATCCATATTCAGAATTCGGAATGTACAAGTTTAAAGAGGAAAAACAAAAGGCACAAACCATGAGAGGGAAGTAATTGCACTAACAAATCCTATAATTTGCAAATTATGTATAACGAAGTATGCATCATATTTTTCTCCTGTATAAGATAATACTTATTTCTGATAAAAGTAGAAACAAAATTTACCAGCGGTGCTTGACATCATATTAATTCAGCCCAAAAGTTTAAATTTGTTGTTTGATTTTATAGCTATTTCTTTTATAATAATAACATATCTCGTGAAATTCGTCTAGGGAGTGTAGGGTGTGCACAGACCTTACCTCAATTCAGAAGACCCTCAACTTGAGTCGAGTATAGCAAATTAGAGTAAATATGAAAAAGAAAAATGACAGTGAAGAGAATATAATATAATATAACAACTATTACAAAAACAGCAACAACAAAAAAAAATGCAATAACCGAAACATCATAAAAACAATTGGTGGTAGAAAGCAAAAGCAAGACAGTACAAGAATAAAAGTACTACTACGACAGACACCACTAAGCCCAAACCCTTCAGAGAGCAAGAGAACAATCCACTACAACCTTCTACCATAATCAGCGATCTCCATGGTTAAGCATTTTTTGTAATTGATGAAATCATTTTTTTTTTTCTTATGAGCTTTGAAAGTCAAATTAGCTTATGTATTTGCCAATAATAATTTTACCCCATGCACATGATATTTATAAGTCAAAAGTTTGCCTAGAATTCTGCAGAAAGCTCAAAAGTTATGTTGGAAAATGGAGAGACATAAAGTTTGCCTAGAATTCTGTAAAAAAACTCAAAAGTTATGTTGGAGAATGGAGAGACATTCTTAAAATGCCTTTTAAAACACCTTTTCATTTTTAGTATTTAATATAATATAATATGATATAATTATTATTTAATATTCAATTGCTTAGATATTTTATAACATTTTGAATTAAGATAGGGGTAAAATAGTATTTCAACTTATACTTTTGTGACTTCCCACTTTTAGTGATTAGTAATTAGTAATAATAATAATATATGATAATTGACTAAAGAGTTTTTTCTTTTCTTTTTTTTCCTTTTATGTTTTGATTCTAAGAACCAGTTTGGATTGACTTTTTTCAAGTACTTTTAAATTAAAATAGCTTTTAAACAGTTTTGAATTGTTTGGGTAAAATAAGAAAGTATTCTTAAGCACTTGTTTTTCCAAACTAGGCTCGAACTCTACTCTTTCTTTGGGTGACAACAAGTACTCACCCGGTCACTCCCCTGTTCTTCCTGTTTGCTAGTTTACCTTTTCCACTTCCACAATTAATTAAAGGTGGATAAGAGATATACGTATATTCACAATAAACGTTTTATTGAGGTCACCAAAGTTGCTTCAAGCTATAAACAGCATACCAAATTTGAAACTCTTAGAGTAGTTTTACCAATCTCAATCTTCAACTAATGATATTTTACGTAAATCTGGTAACATGCTAAATGTACTATTATCATTTACCCCTTGTCTAAGATACTCTTTAACAAGTATAATACAAGTGGATCTTAGAAATAGTTGATTTGTTTCCAAAGAAAATTATAGACAGTAATCCTAATAAAAACAAATCATATTAAAACACTCGAATCGCCAAAAAAAAATTCCAATTATTAAAAAGCAGAAATACTCGAGTAATATGGAAATTCCATTATTTTCTTAGAAAATTACATTCAATGGCAGCAACCATGCATTATGAGAGGTACTTTAGGATGGGTGGTTGTTCTTTTGCAATAATTGGACAGCGGCACTAATATGAATAATTTGAAAACGACCTCATTCATTGTATTCATAGGTTCCGGGGAAGAGGAGACGCAACACCAGACAACTACCAAAGAAGTCATTACTATTGTGCTGAATTTGTTATTTAGAATTAGACTATAATATTTTGAAACTGAAACAACTTAAAATCATTGATTTGTTTTCCAAATAAAATCAGAAAATTACATACAATGGCAGGAACCAGAGATATTCACAATTTACAAACAAAGAAACAATTACAAATAAGTAATAGGTTCTCAAAGCGTCTATGATACAAATAGATTGTTAATTTGTTACCAAAAGAAAATTACATCCAATGAGAGACTCACAAACAAACAACTCTAGAAAAAATTACATGCAATCACAATGGAAGGAACCAAAAAGACTCACAAACAAAGAAATAATACTTAGGAATATATTTTCACATTAGGAATGTGTGCAATTTTGTGCCAGTCTTCTCCTATTCCCTTCTCGCACCGCTTTTCCACAATTGGACAATGAGTAATTATTAAATTTTTGAGGGCTGTTAGGTGTTGCAATCCCTCCGGTAAACATTTTAGCATCTCACAGTGTTCAACAAATAACTCTGTGAGTGAAGTTAAACCGTCCAGCCCTTCCTCTGCGAGACTCTCTAGTGCGTCACACCATTGAATTCTCAGATGCTTCAAAGCATTGAGACTAGCCAGACTGGTAGGCAGCCCTTTGAGATTCTTAAAGAAAGAGATATTCAAGTATTTGAGATTTGCAAGGCTTTTGAACATCTCTTCTGGGAGTGAAGTAGCTTCATAGTTATTGATAATGTAGAGGGAAGTAAGAGTGGTAAGTTTATATATGGACCTCAAAACTATTGCTTCTGACTTGTCCCCAAGAACTTTCAATGTCTTGACAGAAGAAAGGGTCGGAATAACAAACATAGGGCACCCGTTAATTGTCATCTCTTCAAGCACAGGGAATTGCTCTTCTCCTTCCTTTTTCAGCAATCCTTTCAGATTACCAAAGCCCCATATAGCAAGTTTCCTCAAGGATGGAAACCTTATTCTTGTGGGGAATCCAGAATCAACATCAATATCCACTTCTTCAACATACTCCATATCCGCAGACCCCCAGGATAACTTTAGACTTTCTAGACAAGGCAGATCACCGAAGGGTGGTAAGCACAAGCAGTTTCTGCAGTCCTTAATTACAATAGAGACAATATTTTTCAATACTGAGTGATTCATCCACTCTGGGAGATGGATTCCTCTGAAGCCAATGATTTCTAAAAATTTCAGATTGGGGTGTGGTTTAAGGGCTTCAATCACTTTAACTTCTTCTGATTCATATCCATATGGTTCATCCCACCTCATGCTTAAAGAATGTAGATTCGCTTTTGCAGATAAATTGGCCTTTTTTGCATCCTTATCATTCTTCACTCTCTCAAGATGCGTGATTTCAATTGAGCCATAGAGATTTAGGCTTCCTAGTGCACCAAGTTGATAACCTTTCTTCCTTCCAACAATAAATTGACCTAGAGTCTTAAGGCATGTCAATGATCCTATCCTTGGTGGCATAGATTTCAATAAATTGTGATCAAGTAAAAGATTTCGGAGACTAACAAGTTTACTTGTTTGTTTTGGCAAACAACGAAGTGGCAGGCAATCCTGTAGATCAAGAGTCTGCAGATTTTGAAGCTTGCATAACTGCTTTGGAAGACTACGCATGCTATTGCTAGACAGGTTCAAGTATCTTAAGTGTACTAGGTCTCCAATGGAAGAGGGTAATTGACCAAGTTTTAAGTTACTTAAATTAAGCACCCTTAACGAGACAAACCTTTTCAAGAGGGAAGGAGAGTAAGAAGAAACCACTTTAGCAAAACCAATGGACATCTTATGTGAGTAGTAACCTTTTACATTTATTTCGCGGATATTGCTGCCTGATGTGCTAGCTGTAAACAGAGATGTAGCCATATCATGGATGAGATCATGCATACTGAAATAAGTTTTACCAGATTTAACTTTAATCTCTTGGAAGAAAGACCTCAAGTAAAGTTCATTCCATACTTCATTACCCACATCCTCTAGCTCCAAGTTTCCTTTTGATAAAAGAAAACCATGTGCCATCCAGAAAGCAATTAGCTCTTCTTTTTTCATTTCGGTGTCCTTTGGGAACACCGCACAATACACAAAGCATTGTCTCAAATCAAGTGGAAGATGATGATAACTAAGTCTCAGGGCAGGCAGAATAGAACTTTCATCTTGAGGTAAATTCCAAATCTCGCTATCTCTCACATGTTCCCATTCTCTTTCTTCTCTCTTGAAGCGCAAAATACCTCCAAGAGTCTTGGCTGCTAGAGGCACACCACCACATTTTTTCACAATCTCCATTCCGATAGCCACCAGGTTAGGATTTATTTCTTCTTGGTATCCAAATGCACGTTGCATGAGCAACAACCAACAATCTTCTTGGGACAGATTTGACAATTCATATGGTTGCAGTGTTCCCATAATTGATCCAACCTTTTCGAGACGAGTAGTGGTTAGAACAGAAGCACCACTTGCTCCAACCTTCAAGACTGCTCTTAAATTAGCCCACTTCTGTTGATCTTCATTCCAAACATCATCTAAGACAAGCAAGTATCTTTTTCCATTCAGCAACTCTTGAAGCTTCTTTTGAAGTGGAGCCAAGTCCATGTCACTGAGTGACTTCCCTTCAATAGATTCTATGATTGCCTTTATCAACCTCTTCTCATCAAAATCATTGGAGACACAAATCCATATTTTGGGATATAAATGCTCAGTTACTGTCTGATCATTGAAGACCATTTGGGCAAGAGTCGTCTTTCCTAGTCCCCCCATACCAAGTATTGGGAGGACTGAAAGTTCTTGAGCATCACTAACATTGTTTATCAGGATTTTCACTATCTCGTCCTTTTCTTTGGCCCTTCCATAAACTTGTGGTTCAGTTAAAACGAAACCTGGTCCAAGCAATGTCCACATGAGAATATTGTTACATTCACGTTCATTAAGGATCAAATAGAGATTATTTTTACACAATAAAGAAATATGGATGAGCTGAGGAGCAGGTTGAAAATCTTTGAAACTTCCCCTCACCCCAAAAATACACATAAATTTGATACAGAAAATGATCAAATATACCCATCCCATCGGAAATAGTTTATATATATCCATCATTATACTTTGTTCTAATCTCATTATACTGTCAATCCAAATATACCCCTCCTTTTATGTAAAGAAAAGAACTCAAAGCAGAAGTAATGGTTCGGGTATAAGTTAAACGGTAGGTTTCTAAAGAAATCTGGTATTTAAAATTGGGTTGGATAATTTGATTCTGAGCTAGCCAAAATTGATAAATTTGTGTCAAAGTATAATGAGAGGGATATATTTAGATCGAGAGTATAATGAGAGATATATTTAAACTATTTATGATAGTACATGAGAATATTTGATCCTTTTCCAAATTTGATAAATTCCAGAAGAAAAAGAATACAATCCAAGTTATTGTAATACTAATTTAGGATGAGTACCTGTTTCCCGTCTGACAACTTGTCTCTCTATAATCTTTTCGTGCAAATGAAAATTCTTTCTTTCCTCTGCAATTGCATGTAGTTTTTTCATCACTTGGTCCATCCTTTTCCCGACCTTGTGACGGAAAGGGATAACCTTTGGATGATAACAGCCATATGCAGACTGGGAGAATCGTGTGGCCTTAGTTTTATATTCATCCAAGATGTCATCGACTTCATACGTAGCAACATTGAGTTTTTGCAACCAATTTTCTAGTGGTTTGTCGTTGAGTTGCTTCTCCTGAGCATCTTCAAGGACGGCTTGGATTGTAGAAAACATACTTGAAAGCCTTTGGAATTCATTTTCAAAACCGAAAAGCAATACAATTTCCCCTTTGAGGAAAGAAGTAAGATTGTCTATCAGAACTTTAACTACAGCTTCAGCCATATGTTGAATTCACTATTATGAATATCAGATATGTGGAGGGAGTCTAGATTACTAGAATCGTAAACAAGGAATAGCTAGAGTGGGAATTGCGAACTATGAATCTGTAAATATAGGTGGTTGTTGGAATGAAATACAAAGCTTGACCTGAAATATATATATATAGGTGGTTGTTCGAATACTCTTTTATATGATTTTTGAGAATCAAACTCTGTTTTTTAATTCGATATCTGTTAGCACAAGTTTAATGGGTATGATTTTGAAACGAAGTACATATAATAAATGTTGGGCTGATGGGCTAGGCGTTGAGGTAGTTGGTGATACTTTGGTAGGGAACTTGCACACCTAATAATTATATAAAATTCGAAAACTGCGATACTTTTGATGTATTTTTGACGTTTATATTTTTTAAAAATAAAAGATTTAACTTGGTAATTTTGTGCATATTCATGGAAACTGCTAGCTAGTTTCATATATGTCTTTCTTATGGGGTTGGTTTGTCTTTCACCTCCAAACAAGAAAAAAAAAAAAAACTTTGTTTTCATCTCTTAAGCTGTCAACTTGTTATCAACGAACAGATACCACAGAATATCCTCAAAACAAACAAGAAGAGGAGAGCTGTAAATAATTTTATTTTATTTTGGGGAAAAAAGGGTCTCATATACGTCTCAACTTTGGTTAAACAAATGGCTCACAAATACCCTTTTCTTTTACCAGAAGTGAAAAAAATATGTTTTTTTAAATTTTAAAGAATCCATGAAGGGATATATTTGATCCTTCTCACATGTTTTTTATGTTTTTTTTTTTAATTCAACAACTAATTTGAATTTATTATTTAATGGTCAAATTTATTTTTTCTTCAATTCTTTTCTTGTGAAGTATAGATGCCCTAATTTTTATTTTTTACAAAAATAAAAACTAAATTTCATATAGCCACAAAAAAAAATAGTTTAAATTTTTTCTCTACTTTTCCTATTTTTTCCCCTTCGGGAACATTACGGGGTTAAACAAACATATACTAGTTAATTAACTAATATAACTATAGTTTACATTAATTATAATTCAAAACTTACTTCTAGCTATAATTACATTCTCTCTTTCGCCTCTCTCCTCTCTTCCTCTCTCGCCTCTCTCCCCTCTCTCTGGAATCTCGCTCGTCACTCTCCTCTTTTTCAGTCATCTCTCCCTGCCCAGTCTCTCTCTCACTTCTCTTCTGCCAATCTCTCTCTCACTTTATACAAACACAAATGTATAATTTGTGTTTGTGTTTGTATAAAACAAGAGAGATGAGATATTAATTAAAATACAAATACATATCTCTCCGCCCTATAGACTTATAATTATACAAATACAAATCTTCCCCTGCCAGTTCTCTTTTGCCTTTCTCTCTCCCGCTTTATACAAATACAAATTATACAATCTCTTTAGCGGCGATACTATGAGCTTTTGTGGCGACTTATGTCACCGCTAAATGTCTAGTTCTTTTATAGTGAATCCTAATTGACGAGCATAGGTGGAGCCCAAAATGTAACGAAGGGTATAAGTGGTCTATTTCGCATAGTTCAGAGGCAATTTTGACCCTTTTCCATATATGATATGATATGATATATGTTGATTTCTCTTATTTTTACACTAAAGAATGAAAAAAAAAATGAAATAAAAAATAAGAAACTCAAATAAGAATATTTCACAATTTAGGTTCCCTATGTCATCATCATACCAAATGAAAATAAAAGTTAAGCATATCTTAATTTCAACTATAAAAACAGAAGATTATCTTAATATCAAAGAAGAATTTCAAATTCATGTAAAATTGTCATGCATCACATCTGTTGTTTGCTTCTTTTTGTTCTATATGGAGAGGCAAAGGCTATCCAATATGAAATTTTCCACATTATTTGCTTATGAATTGAATAAATGACTTCATTGAACTATATGGATAACCGTTCTGGAATATGGATCTTAACGCCATTCATCGTTCATCAATTCGTCAATTCCTTGAACTATGTCTTCTTTATTCACCATCTCTCTGGTGTCATCACTAAGTAAAATCATGTGTCCCATTTTTAAGCAATTTGCTACCTCTTCCTCTGTAAAATTTGATTGACGATTCGACCTGACTTCATGATCAT